TCCGTGCAGGTCAATCTAAAATCAAGTTCTATATGCTGATATCACAACAGGATAATGTTCAGAGTCAACATCATGTTCAAGATTAGTTCGTGGGCAGTTCATAGTGAATAATAGGAAATTTGGAAATAGTGAAAACAGCTCACATGAAGAACAGTGGAGTACGTATCCATTCCTTCCAAAGCATAAGGATACTTTTGATGAGCAAGAGTAAAGGCAGAGTCAGCGTTGAAGTAGTCTTGTAGCTCAAAATATGCTTTTCCAACCTATGTCAAAACGTATCCATGGTGTTTAGTTTCAGTGTCAAAAACCAACAAATGGAATTAGAAAATAACGTCAATGACCTAATATGATCATTCCGATGAAAAAGGAGCACAGAAAAAGCCATTCATATTATCACCTGCAAGAGAACCCAGTGTGTATTGTATTGTTTCTGAGATAGCTTTTGATATACCACCAAAGCTTCCTGCAGTAGTATCCATTTTTGTCATTATAGGGTTCGACATCGATAGTTTTAACTTATAGGCAGAGAATTGAAGTTGAAGAATATGAACCCAATACACACATTTTCTTAGTACAGTACCTGACAGTTGTACATATGTAAATGCCTGAGGCCATCTCCAAGAATTTTCAGAAGGTTTAGCACTTCTGAAATTCCAGAAATGAGGCTGAAACGATCCAGGGAAGATTCACTAGGATTTGACTTTTCCTCGTCATCAACAGAGCTTCCAATGTCATTTACAGACTGGCTTGACGTCGTTGCTGGATCATTTAGAGTAAAAGTATCAGGAACAGCTACACATATATGTTCAAGTCTTATTGTCATGTAAAATAATTAAGCCACCTATATATTAAAATCATGAATTTTTAACTAGAGATCTAACTTTATCCTCAGAAGGGAATTCAAAAACTATAACCAGTTGAGGCTCTATAGCCCGGTTTGGAAGACAGAAAAGAAAAATATGATAGAAAAACATCACCTTCCTTGCTGCTTTGGGTTCTGCATTTTCCAATCACCGAGGAAAGAGAAGGTGCACAGTTTGACTCAGAAGGTGAAAGATGTAACCAATGGAGATCTTTTCCTAATGACTGCGACATAGGAATCTTTTTCCTTGCTGCTATTCTAGCACTACGGCGACGCCCAGATTCTTCTGGAGCCTTCAAGATAAGGAAAGTTAAAGAAGACCAATAAATCAAGTAGCTTTAGATGGTCCAGCCATAGAGCTAGAAGATAGAATATCTGCAATGTTGAAAGTTTAAAATATCTGCAATGCTAGATAGATAATCACTGTTCGGATATGCATTAATAAGAAAATTCTTATGCAAAGAAAACAAGGAAGAAATCACTCAAAGCCCATTGTAGATATATAACCTCTGCTGACAATTCTTCACTAAAAAAGTTTCTTAGACGCACACACACTCCATGTACAGACATCAAAGATCCTTCCACTGCTGGTCGACGCATATTCTTATGAAGCAGAGGCGGTGGAGCATCCATTACCAGAACGGATAAAGATACTTAGAGATAGGGAAGCAGCTTACAAACTTCTCATAACCTTATGAAAGAAATTATAGCTCTTGAAGCAGATAATAGACATTCAACAACTGCGGATTCTAAACTAGAAACAGTAACTAATATGTTCTCATACTAGCTCGACTTAATTATATCACCTGTAAAAGCACTTGAGAAGGTGTGTACAAATCCCATCCGTTTGTATTAAGTTGCCTGTCAGTATCTGGCGGAATATCTGCTCCAGGCTGCTGCTTAGTTTTCAGATCTTGTTGGTTCTCTCCTGGAAAGTGTTCTGTTTGCGATAAACTTGTATCTTTTGTAAGCTGGTCTATGGTTGCTCCTTCTGAGAAGTTTATTCTTTGTTCTACACAAGTTTTCTGAAGACGCTGGGAAGCAACATTCCCGAAAACTGTTGAGGATTCTTCAGCGGCACCTGAAAAGGTAATCGCAGAACGCCATTGCAGAGAAATAAATTTGTTGCCCTAGATTTCCAGCTGGAATAACGGAAACATAAACTGATAAATACATAACTCATACAGAGCTTTCACTTACCTAAACTACAAAGTTCTCTATATGCTTCCCAACACAACGGATCAAATGACAATGCCATCCTAAACTGTTGTATTGAACTGTTGTTCCTCCCAGAATATCTGGAATCATGTAACAGAGAGTAACACACATCAGACGGGAAAGTAATGCCATCAGATTTAGCAAATGGAACATATGCCGCAAACTACTAAGCTTGTTACAGAAACAGTATACCAAGACAGAGAAGTACTAAATTTTAAAGCATGCGAGAGACAACAAAATCTCATATAAACCTTGCAAAGTAAATAGCCGTCACCTATATATAAGACCAAGAAGATAATGCCCAGCTGCACCACCAGGAACCTGCATGTTAAAAATACAGTAGTCACTAGTAAGCACTTGCCAATTTTCACTCCTAAAAGACTAGCTTGGAAAAGATGTGTACGAATCCCATGGATATGGAGAATTTTAATAAAGGAAGTAAAAAGCAACTGCATATACATCTTCAACATAATCTTCACAGGGCAACAATGCAGCTTCAGCCTCTCCAAGAAGATCCAATTTGAAGATTAGGTTCAAATTCATAGGCTTCTATGTCATGCAAATAGAGTGAATGAAATTAAAAGAATGACTCTTTGTTTCCTATGTGTGCTCTAAAGATCATTCACTTATAATAACTTTGAATTTACTTATAATAACTTTGATCTTCTGTTTTTGTTTCCTTTTTGTGTTCTAAAGATCATTCATTTACCGATGATAACTTATGCTACCACAAGGAATCATATCCTCCACTACAACAAAGAACCAAATTCTTGACGTTTCTTTCTTTACTTTCAAAACCCTCCGCTACTTTCGAATCCAATTCATTCTTGTTGTTTTGGTTTTGATCCCTTTCTCTATTTCTCAAAATTTGTTGTTTTTCTTCTTCTATATAAACCTCATGGAGACACACAAACACAACAACACAAGTCTCAATATATATATAAACACAAACACAAGTCTTTGTACCTAAACACAAACACAAACACAAGTCTTTGTCTCTTTTGGATGTTCTACATAGACCATGGAAAGTACATCCTCTTTTTCCAAGTCATCTTCTTTCAGAAAATCAAATGCTAGTATAATAGATTTTCTATATGAGATAGAATATGTTAGTGATGATAAGAAAATTCCTATTACCCAACTTCCTCTACGAAATGTTTAAGAATCTATTTCGAGTCCAAAGATGAACATATGGCAATCGATTGTGATGGCAACATGAAATGCAGGCGGTGTAGGACCCACTTGTCCATCTGATTCATCTTCAACACCGGATCCAATAATCTCATGTAAAGTTTTTAGTTTTCTATATATTCGCAAATTGTAAGTGATAAACAACCAACTTTGATGAAGCTAACAGTCACTAAACTAGCAGAATCATCACAAGCAAAGCAATCCAAAACTAGCAGAATCATCACAAGCAAAGCAATCCAAGACAGAAACTCATAAAAAGCATCTTCCTTGACAATAAACCAATTAGAAGAACAACAAACCAATGATGCTAGACTGAAATAAGCATAATGAAAGCCATTGAAGTATATCGCAATTAAAAGTTATTTGATAAATGATAAAGGGTTCAGAGGATGATGATGATGATGATGATGATGATGATACCAATATCATAAACAAATATATCACTGAGGAATTTCTTATCGACGAATACCACCACCATAGATTTTCCGACATTGACAGCTATATGTCCACTGATACACAAACACCAACAAAATCAGCTGAAAATTCAAAAATCGAGAGATATAGATTAAGAGAATTATACCTCCGCGCCTGCGGAGGAGTCCACTGAAATCGGAAGAAGAAGCTTGAACCCAGTTATGCATTTTTATTCAGCCGATGATCACGAAATCTCACGGATCACCACCGTGTTTGGATTCGCTTGAAGTAGACTTCTTCCCGTAGAGTCTGTCAATCAATTTTTTTAATTCATTAACCAATAATTTGGTTTATGATTTTAATACCGGTTTAGTTGAGGATGAACCGGTTTTAAAAAGCAGAGGAATTTTTGGTTTGATTCCAATGGCGATGAGCTCACTCGATGAATTCGTGATTCTCGTCGTGAATCAACGAGAGGCATCTTCTTCGAGTCAAGAGATTTCGATCTCAGCTTCTGAAATCGTATCCTGGGGTTTGTCAAAAATACTCTCTTACGGAAGAGTAAAAGTTCGAGCTCATCGAACTAGGCAAGTGTTCATGCTTCTCATCTCCACTCTTGATTTGTATTGGTTAGGTTTTTTTTTAGTAATAGTGTAGTGATTACTACACTATTTTTATTTTTTTTTATTCGTTTTTGTATATTAGGCTTATCGAGGAATCCTCGTATTTCCATGGCCTTCTAAGTGGAAGCTTCAGGTAGATTCTGGATTCTGATTGCAAGTACAAGTGATTTGGTGCATGTATTGTTTCAATTTAGTGTTATGTGTGTTAGTTTTCAGCCATAGTGATGTTTAATTTGGTTGAATTTGGGATTTGTGACAGTGAATCAGGCCTTGATCATATCTCTGTTGAATGGAATCCAGAGACTTTCTTGAATCTTCTCATGTGTTTGTATGGTTACTCCATTGATATTACATCCAGTAGTCTGTTTGATGTTAGATTCTTGTATCAATCCTCTGCTCCCTTTTTTTCCTTTTTCTCTTGTTACATGCTAATTACCGACGATTCCAAATGGCGAATATAGGCTGCGCTCTATTAATTTTGGGGTGGAGAAGCTTCTCTCTAAATGCAAAATCTGGCTTTCAGTTTTGGCATTATCTAAGGACACTGCATTGCCGAAACTAGGACTGACTGACCTTATTCAGATGTGGAGTTTTGGTCTCGAGCATGGTTAGAATCTTGCGAGAAATCTCTTTTTAGTTGTTAATTTTAGCTTACTTTTCTAAAATCATGATTCATTTGGTGACACTTACAGCTGGAGAATTTGTGCCAGATCTCTCTGTGGCCTATCTTTCAAAGAAATTCGTATGTACCACTTACTCTTCCAATTTATCCTTCCTAGTAGCATTAAACATCCTCACCTGACTGTAGACAGGTAAGTTTGTACCCATTGTCTATCTTATCAGTGCAAACATACCCAATATTCTCACCTTTGGCTAAAACTCTGACAGTGAGATGCATCTTGCTGATGCACTTCTTATTTGGCTTGATGCCGGCAGAAGAATGTCGGACTTTTCAGAGAGTAGTAGTAGTCAGGATAACACAATCAACTTGATGGAACAGCTAACGTTTAGAAGGTCTGTCACCTATGCAGAGATTACTTTTTCTGAGACCTTTAGGACAAAACTAGTATATACATTTTTTGCTTTATGGAACTCTGGTCCTCGCTTTAAAAAGCAGATGATTTTGAGTTTGAGGTTAGATTTTTGTATCAATCCTCGGTTCTCTTTTTAATATTTTCGCTTGTTACATACTAATTATTGAATTCTGAATGGTGAGTATAGGCTGCGCTTTATTTTGGGGTGGCGAGGCTTCTCTCTAAATGCAAAAGCTGGCTTTCAGTTTTGGCATCATCGAATGACACCGCATTACCGAAACTAGAATTGTCTGACCTTATTCAGATTTGGAGTTTTGGTCTCGAGCATGGTTAGAATCTTGCGCGAAATCTCTTATTAGTTGTTAAATTAGATCTTGCGAAAAATTTCGTATGTACCACTTACACTTCCCATCTATCTTTACTAGTAGCTGTTGGGTGTGCACTGCTCGTGTAATCCTCTCAATGATATGTAGGATGTATGATAGAAAATGATGACCTTATGTCTGAAATATCTAACTTCTTCCAATTTGGTACTCTTGGTAGCTAATAAAACATCCAACTTTTTTATTACGACGGCGTATAAACCCAAGTCTGTCCTACATTTCATATATTTAGATATTGGATGTCTATGATTCGTTTTGATAAATAGGTGAGTCTTTGAAAGCTTAATGTCGTCCTGTCTAATTATGCCTTAGTTCCCTCAATCAGATATTGGATCTCTCAGGATGTCCACAGTTAAATTAAGCCAGTCTGCTACTGTCAATACTGCCTAACTCGTATTTCGAAAACCTCAGGTGGAGGAGAAAGAGTTTGAAAAGTTTCCTAAGTTAAGAACCCTGACGAGGATGAAAGACATCAAGAACAATTATCTCACAGAACTTTGTCAAATTTGTCTTTCGAAACGGTGAAAGAGATTGATTAAGAAGATTGAGAGCTGCTTATCTCTTAAACATGAAGGTGTCCACAATGCTTGAACTTCTCCAGAATTTCCGCGAGCTCACTGAAGTTGGTTTAAATGTTGATACAGCTCCTGTAATACCGGTTCAAGAATCGGTGGTGTTTTACTCTGGCCAAGGTCATTGTTCGCTATCGAATATCACAAGACTAACGCTGGAGGTTATTGAGATAATTTGATCTGGTGTCTGGTGATGGAGTATTATTATTGTCCTGGTGGGTGATCTTCATGCGCTGAGGCAGAAACAGGTCAGAAGGTGTTTCACATTGTTGTTATGAATTATGTAATGCTCACATTTCACATACAAAATTCAGAAATCAAAGCACCAAATCTTTTGATTCAGCTAGAAAAGAAGAAAAGACAAAATTGAAGAGAAGATTGATACAAAGGATTAGAAAGCACATGTGCCGAGCACGTGACCCATGAAAAGCAAGTCTTGAGTTTAGCCAATAAAATTAAAATGGAAGTTATTTACTTAGTGTTCTCCTTTTTTTATTTATTAATTAATTAGAGAGAATAGATAAATATCTTCTTCTTCTTTTTGAACAAACAAGTAAAATATCCATTTGTTTGGGGCATAGAAAAGGAAAATATCGTTTCAGCAAATACATGTTAAGGGCTATATAAAATAATGTCTAGATAATATGGAAGTTATCCCTTGTAGAGAAACACTCAAAAAAATAAACCTTATTTTAACGTGTTATTAACAAGATTGACATGCTGACGTGTCGCTCTCAGAATGATTTATCACCTGTTTAAATAGTTACCCAAATTTTATTAGATTATTTACAGAATTTTCCATTAATATTATACACACATATATCTCACTAATCAAAACGAATTTTTAATTAAAATTGTAAATAATTATGCAGCAAATCTTTCCAAAATAAATATACCACAAACTGAAGCAAATGATTACGTAACTAATACATGTAAGATCATTAAAATAAATGTATTAGTAACAGTGGCTACGAGACCACCTTTATCTCTATATTAGCAAGATCATTAAAATGTAATAGAAGCTACGTCCAACCTTAAGCAAATCTTATCCAGTAACTAATACTTCCAAACTAAATATACAAGTGATAAAGGATATATCTACAGCTTTCATAAATTAGCATTTATATTAATAATAAAAATCTTTATATATGTTTTATAAATATAAAAATTAGAATTAAAATAATCATACCATATTTTACAAAATATGAAGTCTTAATAATAATAAAATAATTAAAAAAATTTAGTCCAACTAAAACCATAAAATATACTAAGATAGTAAGATAGTAAATATGAACAACTGAAAAAGTTCTAAAAATAACTGAATAGTGAATACAAAAAAAATCTAAAATCCTATATTTTATTTCAAAATCAAATGATTTGTTTTTGATCCGATACCCGGTCAGTTCAACCGGTTCATCAGATTACGGGTTAATGGCAGATTTTTGTGGGTTTTTTATTCGGCTTAGAAAAAACCGGGCATCTAAGCAAAAAAAAAAAAAAATTACCGGACATTAGCACTAAACCTAAACCGGAGAAGTGTACGGATCGCAGGTTAACTGATCATACTAAACGGTTCGGATCGGACGTGAAAACACTGATTTATACGTATATAAAGAAATTTATTGAAAGACACAAAATATTCAACCCTTTTAAAAATTGAACAATTTATTTACTTATAAAGAAAATTGTGACCATCAACCTTCTCCCGCGCCTATATCTAGTTTTCTTAGTGTTCCCCTTTTTTTTTTATTAATTAATTAGAGAGAATATGTAAATATCTTCTTCTTTATTTTGATTAAACAGGTAAAATATCCATTTATTTGGGGCATAGAAAAGGAAAATATCGTTTCAGCAAATACATGTTAAGGGCTATATATAATAATGTCTCGATAATATGGAAGTTATTTACTTAGTGTTCTCCGGAACAAATTCTCAGGGGCTCCTCAAGCTCCAAATTTTGTCTCAAATACTCCTCAATGGTAGAAAGACAAAATTACCCTTAATGAGGGTTGATTTCGGGTGATAAAGGTTAAATACAATTAAATCGGTAAGTGTTCAACGAAAAACACAATAGCTCAGTGGTTGCGAGCTCCATGCGCACGCGCACGCCCCCAGGGTTCGAATCCTTTTATACGGGTTGTAACTGGTACAACTAGGGAATATTCGGGTACAACTAAGTTGTGGTATAACTAGGGTCTGGTACAACTAGGGTCTGGTACAACTAGGGTACAACTAGGAGGTGGTACAACTAAGGTCTGGTACAACTAGGAGGGTACAACTAGGATACCAGTTGTACCACGTATACCTAGTAAAGGGGTAGTTTCGTCCTTTCATTAAAAGGAGGAGAGTATGTAGATTAGAGGAGAGTATATAGATTAATTCTTTGACTCTGAGGAGCAATTGAGATTAGTCTCCGTGTTCTCCTCTTTTTTTATTTATTTATTAATTAATTAGAGAGAATAGGTAAATATCTTCTTCTTTATTTTGAACAAACAGGTAAAATATCAATTTGTTTGGGACATAGAAAAGGAAAATATCGTTTCAGCAAATACATGTTAGGGGCTTTTGCAAAAATGCCATTTTTTCAATGCCACTTTTCAAAAATACCCCTTTTTTTAAAACCTTATAAAAAATGCTCTTAAAAATATAAGATTTACCCAAATATGTATGTAATATTATTAAAATATACACAAACTACATTTCTATGTATCTAAAATCTTATAAATACTTTATAAATACCTTATAAATGCATTTTAAATACTTTTAAAAACCTTTAAAATATCTTGTAAAACCTTTGAAAAACCTTAAAAATTCTTTAAAATAACTTGTAAAACCTTTAAAAACACCTTATAAAACCTTATAAATACTTGGATCGAGTCTTCAAGTAGTAGTTACAATCCATAAGTACCTTATAAACCTAATAAAACTTTATAAAAATTTCAGATTTAAAAAGGGGCATTTTTGAAAATGGACATCTAAAAGAGGCATTTTTGAAAAGGGACACACCAAAAGGAGTATTTTTAACAATTTCCCTACATGTTAAGGGCTATATATAATAATGTCTCAAACGTTTCAGAATTTCAAAGATCGTTTATCAACCATAGTACCTATACACACATCTAAACCATTAAAAAGGTAATTTTTTACTTAACGTCTCGATAATATGGAAGTTATTTACTTAGTGTTCTCATTGTTTTTATTATTTATTAATTAATTAGAAAGAATAGGTAAACATTTTTTTTTTTTTGAATAAACAGGTAAAATATCCATTTATTTGGGACATAGAAAAGGAAAATATTGTTTCACCAAATACATGTTAAGGGCTATATAATAATGTCTTGAACGTTTCAGAATTCTAAGATCGTTTATCAACCATACTACCTATACACACATCTAAACCATTAAAAAGGTAGTGTGTTAAGAAGATCCAACGGTGGAAAACAAGGCACTGATCTAAACCCTAAAAGCCAAGTCTGTCATTCGAAATATAAAAGGGTAGCCAATCATGTCAGGGCCTTGGTACTTGAGCAACACAAGCGTCTTCTGTCTCGTCGATGAAATCCCAACCCCTAGTGATCCCAATGGTCATTCGATTTCTTGTACTATCCGATTAGCTCTTGACAGAATGGGCTATCTTGGTCACAAGAAAATCTGGGCTTTTACCCCAAAGAAGCAGAGCTCCGCAGCAGCTGATCCCGAAATCTTGCACATATCAGGTAAATTCTTCCTTTACATAAACCCTTGTATCACTCTTTTCTTTCTTAATTATGTTATATATGCCTGTAATCTAGATCTCTCTCTTGATATATTTTTCCAGACTCTGAAGACTGTAGAGTTCGTAAGATGTTATTTCACATTATTACATTTGCATCTTCCTGTGATGTTGGTGAACAAAATAATGTGATAGTAATCTCAAATAAACCCCCAGAAGGCGAGTTTTGCAGGGTTCTTCACACTTTGGAAATTAGAGGTTTCAATGTTCTCTTGGTACAGCCTCATGATGAGGCACAAGTACTTCGTTCGGCAGACTTGATATTTCAGTGTACAACAGCGTTAGATGGTTCAAGTGGTCCTACTGACTTTGACAATATTGACCGTGTTTCTTATCCGAGCTGGGAAATTGATCCTGATCCTGATCCTGCCAACCTAGACGACTCAAGCAGTAGTCTCCACTTTTAGATGATATAAATCTCTATATGTTGTGTCAAAATCTACCGGTTGTTTTTCTCAGTTGTGTATGATTACTCTTTGACGTTTCCATTCTGTAAAACTCTGCTTTGGTACCAATCAATTTTCAGTTTTATCTTTTCCCATTCCTCATTTTTGTAATTGTAGATTATAAATATTGTTTTAAGCCAGACAAACATAAGATTCCTAATACAATAAATGACAAACCTGTGAAATCGTCATCCATAAAATCAATCACTAATGTCAAATTAAGTGCAAAGGAAC